AAGACTTTAAATTTAAAAAAATAAACCTAAGGTTTGATAAATAACTTTATAATTGAGCCTTAGTAGTATTATTGTTTACAAAAATCAAGATAAAACAAATACTTTTTTTAATTATGTATATGATGTTTAAAAATGTGAAATAATTAGGATGGATTTGTTTAATTGTTACCTTAAATCTAATACAATATGGGATTCCTGATTTTAACTTTTCCTTGACCTCTTCTGGTGTCAGGTGTCTGCACCGATTGTCATACTTGGGCACTCTTTGCAATTTTACAGCATCCCTCCGCAATATATTTAATCTCCTTTCTGTGCAGAAACAATGGTATGCAGATTCGTTGTTAAGTAATTTAGTTATATGATCTCTGAAAGAAAAAGTAAATGTTAAACCCATATATTTAAAGAAAAGGAAAAGTTAAGAAAATAATTCTGGATGACAATAAACATACTTATAAATGTTCAAACGTTCGCTTTGTATAAAAGGTCCGTATTGACTATCTTTCCCCGGTCCTTCATCGAATTCCAGGCCCGCCCAATTTAAATCCTTAACAAGAGCCTCCACCGAGCCCGGTACTTTTCTGGTTTGATCTGTATCTTCTATCCGCAAAATAAATACACCACCTCTTGATTTTGCAAATAAGTAATTATATACGGCGGTCCTTAAACCACCCAAATGTAAATATCCTGTGGGACTAGGCGCAAATCTTACTCGTGGGCAAACAGTTTTGAGTGTCCGATATAGGTTATACGAAGGTGTAAACAAACTGTTCATAAAAATGTTCACCATTTTAAAAATTCAATACACTTTTCACTAGTTACATATAATTATCATTTACCAAAAATCACTTACTCTTAAAATTACAAATCTTATTTCATAATATTATGTTTTCTGAGTCGTCTTGTCATAATCAGCTGTTTTTATTTAAATCATTTGACAATATCTAATTTGTTGCCCGTGAAAAATGTTATAGGTAAGACATAAGATTTTCAAAGCAGTTGCATAAAATGCTTTATTGTAAAGCATCCGGCGAACCACTGCAACGCTTAAACCAAAAATAAGTTGCTTCCCAACAATGATCATGTTATCTTGAGTTTTGTGGTTTTATATTTTTTTTGGTTACATATTACACATTTATAGTCTATAGTTTTTTGGCGGTAATCAAATAATTGGTAACATTGAAATTGTCTGTGATTGTTATTTATTTTAATCTGTGATTTTAGCTCTAATGTCGAAATAACAGTGAACTAGTGAAAGTCATTAATAGAATTAACAATAATCTTACAAAAATGGTTTGTAACAATAGTCATAAAATAATGTTTCCCTTGTTACAAAACATATTATTTCCAACAATAACTTTGGCGCTAGGCATTTGACAGTTAGTAATAATCTGAGGTTATGACGTTACTCCGTTTTCTTTTCAGAATAAATTAAAATCATCACAGAGAGATAAAGTTAAGAAGTTCGTCGCGTTTACGCAAACGAGTGAGAGTACAGCTATTTATTGCCTTTCGCAAAATGATTGGAAATTAGACTTAGCCAGTGACAACTATTTTCAGAACCCCGATGCATATTACAAAGACTCTGGCAAATTTGCTGTTGACAGAAAAAGGCTTGATCAACTATTCAATAAATATAGAGATCAACAGGAAAATGATAAGATAACCGTAGATGGTGTAATGAAGTTCCTAGAAGACCTAAACCTTAGCCCGGAATCTATACTAGTTTTAATAATAGCATGGAAATGTAAAGCAGCAGTGCAGTGCGAGTTCACTAAAGAAGAATTTACAACCGGTCTCGTAGAGCTGGGTGTAGACAGCATAGACAAATTAAAAGCTAAGTTACCAACACTTGAATTGGAAATCAAAGATCCAAACAAATTCAAAGATTTTTATCATTTTACATTTAATTATGCTAAGAACCCTGGTCAGAAAGGATTAGAACTAGATATGGCTGTGGCTTATTGGAATATTGTGCTCCGTGGGAGGTTTAAATTTTTAGATGCTTGGTGCAAATTTCTTACGGTATGTTATCTATCTTATTGCAAATCTCATTAGACCTTTCAGTATAAAATAAATCATACTGTATCAAATGTTAAGGTATAAATCTTTATTCTAAACGGTTTTACAGGAACTGTTAACAAATCCCTTCAATCTGCTCACTAAAATAACATTTACTCTCAAATTTGTTAAAAACATCAACTTACATATCTATATTAAAAGCAAATCTATCAAAAGTAATTGTTATCTAAGTATCACACACAATTATTTCAACATTGTAATGACATAAAGCAAAAAGTTTGTCTATTGGGTCTTAAAACCTTAATAAAACACAAATAATTAACATTCCAGGAGCATCACAAAAGGTCTATTCCAAAAGACACATGGAATCTCTTACTGGACTTTGCTACACAAATAGATGATGGCATGAGCAACTATGATGCAGAAGGTGCCTGGCCTGTCCTAATCGATGACTTTGTTGAATGGTGTCAAAAGCAAGGCTTAACAGCGGATGGGGTCAAAGCCCTAGAGCCAGCATCTGGCTAGCCGATACCGAAATATAACTTACAGTTCGAAGTGAGGATAACCAGTGTTAATGAAACACAAGTACAAGTCTGGTATAGTGGCATACAGACATTCATTCAGCCACTACTCACTCGCTTTGTTCTGTACAGCTTACAGTTTTGTAAAGAATGGGTCGCCATAATAATCTTTGAATTTTGTAGCTGACTAAATCTGAATTGTGCAGTGGTCAGGCCGTAGGCTTGGAACTTTGAAGCGGGAACTGCTTTGTTATGCAATGGTGTTTTTGTTTTTTTTTTATTTATTACCCCACTATGCTACTGTCTTGTTTCATTCGTCCGTTAGATAAATGTAGGGTTTATTCTACCCTTCCTTCTTAATTATAAATTTCATTACTAATATAAATAGTTTACATAGGCATAATTTTGTCACTATGTGACTACAGAATACAAAATTGTAAGTCTTAGATATAAATGGATTTTATTGGATATTAAATTTTATCAAATTATTATGAAAAAAATTAAACAATCTAAAAATAATGTTGAATTTCACAAGACACTATTTTTTTTTAAAGAAATATGTTTTGATCTCTCGTTTATCTATTCTTCAATCTAAAGTCATAGAATAATCTATTCTTGTTTGAAATGCATACCCTACTATCATTTACTGTGTGAAAAAGTTTATAATTATTTAGTTTTTTTTTAATTGTTTCTAACAACTGCAGCATTAAAACAAACAACTATGTAAATATGTATATACATGTTAATGGTATATCTTTTTTTTTAATTTTCTTAATTATAGCATAGAGTTTTCTGTTTTGATTTTCACATACACCAATTTTAACAATTGATGAATGCAAATATACAATTGATTGTTGACTCTTTTGTTCATTTCATCTAATTAACAAAGAAAGTTTATGAAGAAACTGTACAAAAAATAGACTTTACTAGTTGCTAGTTAAATTTTTACATTATACCTAAAGTTTGTAAACAAAGGGTGATTTTCTTCCTTAACAAACTTTAAATTTAAGATTGGAAAGAGTTGATCAAGTGAGAAGTCTGGATTTTTATTGAAAAGTCAAAAATTGTAAGAAAATTTTGATTGCAAAACAAACACCTAATTTTTCACAAAAAAAATCATATTTTCAAAACCGGTATATAACACATTTGAAATTTTTTTAGTTTAATATTTAGAAAAAAATTATAGTTTGGCACAAATTTTGAATTTACAAAAAATATGATTGATCAAATAATTAATAAAGTTTGATATTATTTTATTAATGCCTTCAGTAACAAAACATACAGAAACAGCGGGTATGATTTTATCTGAATTTTATGATAACATGAAATGACTTATAAAAAGCGTGATCTGTGATTATTGTAACAATTTCGAAATATATTTGAAATTAAAAATGTAAAAATCTCGGTAAAATTGTTTAAAAGTGAACAAATTTTATTAGTGTATAAAAATGTGCCTGACAATTTATGACTTTCATCTATTTTATGGCTATTGGCTTAAGGTTTTTTAATATTTTAACGATAAATTAAAAAAAATAGAACCTGTTGCTTTTAATAGATAAAATCGAGACACGAGTTCATAGAAAAGATATTGGTACTTAGACTTAATGTACAAAAATAAATTGATGTATTGAAAATTAATTACATTAAATTGTTAATTTAAATTAATCTTTTACTAACAATGAATGTGCTAATCCCTGTTATTTTAATTTAAAAACAATATCAAAATTTAAAAGGTGTGTATTTTCACATATGTAATATAGTTAAAGGTACGCTATCACCCCTGAGTTTCTATTATGTCGTCAACTCATACGACGACGAGTTGACTTGGTCCAGCTAAGGCCAAGTGTAGGTTGCATCACGATATTTTCCTTAACTTTTAGATCGTGGGACAAATGCACATAAGAAATTTGAAAAATATTGGTGCAAGAAGGAAGTCGAACCTAAGACCACTGCGCCACCGACGAACCTTAGTTGGCATCTTTTTATGTCAAAGCAGCAACTTTTGAATATCTTTTATATATCAAGGTAGCAAACTGCCATCTGAATTTGTCGAAATAGCGGAGCGCCCGCTGTCCACAGAACTTCCCTATTGCAGATGTGCTGCCTCCCTTCTATTGACGAAGAACTTGGCGCATAAATAGATGATGTTCCCCTTTCCCGTCAAATCCACTTCCCATCCCTTTCTCATAAAAAGGGTGGGAAAGGAAACTAAAATTAGGCCTCTGGCACACACACTTATCAGACGAAACGCGGAATTGTGAAGAAGTGGAAGCACTTCACGTCTGTCTTCTGTGTGGTTGTGGTATTTCACTGGGATAGCCGACCCGACCCATTCGTGTAACAGATGTTGTTGTTGTTGTTGTTGCGTCTATTACTGTTCTGGATTTGTCTGTCTCTGTGAATTATATCTGATTATATTGGAAATTTACTTTAAAACTTAATTATTATAAAATAGTAAATCCTTCTCCGCTATGGCAGAAAGTGAAAAGAAAAAAAAAGTGAAGATAGCTAATGTCACTGTCATTGTCAATACCAGTTTCCAATTATTTTCATGTCAGTTGGAAAAAATCGTAATAGATAGTAATTTTAATAGGATTAGAATATTAGAGATTGCAAATTTATAATACTTAAAAAATGTCGGCCGTACGTCTAGGTGGAAGACTAAAGGAGTTGAGAATTCATTTGTGTCAGACAAGCTCGCAATCCGCTGGAGTCAGGTACTTTTGATTACATAAATATTTTCTAACCTTTCTTAGTATAAACAGTCCCTCATAGATTTAGGAAGAATTTAAGGAACGCAAAATGTAAGAGAAAGGTGGATCAATTTAGAATTTTTTTATGAACTTCTTTGAATGTAAAATGTTATTGTTTCAGGGAATTCATACAAAAATCTTATGTGAGCTTAAAAAAGGCTAATCCTACCTTTCCAATTTTAATTCGTGAATGCAACGGAATTCAACCTCGCATTTGGGCTAGATATGGTAGGTGAAATTGTTATTTTCTTATTGCAATTTAGAATAAACAAGCAATATATTTTCATGTAAATAAACAGTACCACTTACTATTTAAGTAAATACCATTTTGAGTTGATGATTTGTGAAATCTTTGTATAAATTTCTTAATAATTGTTTTGTAGATTTGATATACCTTTTTAAACTTTACGAATATGCAATTTTCACAGAGAGAGGACGTGAACTTTGTGAACCATTAACTGATTTGAAATGTGACCAAGTTTACAGCATCATACAGAAGTTAAACAAGATGATTTAAATTTAATGGTTAATCTTATGATTTAGTACTTAGTAAATTATTAACTAAACAGCTAAAAATACATTTAAAAATCCTGTATAGATTTCAATTATAATATTCAGTACATTCTTGTTTTAAAATGTTTTTTGTCTTTCCATATCGTCTAACTTAGATAATAGATAGAAAATTTGCCAAGTTATATTTTCATTGAAGTAAAGTATTTTTTGTTTTTGGTACAGTAAGATAAAGTTATTGGTAGAATTACATAATCTCTAATGATTTGAAGTAATATTATATGTATTTTGAAGCCTGTTGTGTTTAATGTAATGTATTTATTCTGTTCAATTTGTTTCACGAGTATCTTATATTTGAAATTTAATTTTCAGAAAAGGGTGAAGAGCGCAGCACTCCATTAACAAATATGAAAGCTGATGATGTTCTCAATGAAGTGCAGAAACTAGCCAAATGATTTGTTTTGTTTTAATTTAATTATGTTAATAATAAATAGTACCTAGAAATAATTGTGTTTATATTCATGTCATCATAATGTTTAATTGACCGCAGGTTTCTGAGTATAATTAAAATTATAGTGACTATATGTATTATTGAATACAATAATAATTTTTCACACACCTGATGTAATTGTGCAGCTGATATCGAAAAACAATTTTTAAAATTTTGTCTGTACGCAAGTCTGTGTTTGTCCCGGGCAATCTCCAACCGGCTGTGCCGACTTTAATAGGAAGGTAGCTGTGGTATGCGGGCATATTATAAGCTACATTTCTTTGTTTTATCTGTTAAATAAAACTTGGTTGTTCCTACCTTTGCTTTAGTTCACTATTAAAGAATAAAAAGATATGAAATTGGATTGAATAATACACCATTGCTTGTACAAATAATTTATGCTTACTTTTTCTATAAACTACACATGTAAACATAACAAATATAAAACACGATGTATAACAATCACATGCACATAAGAAATTCTATTAGTATATAAAAAAGTATTTTGCTTTATGTACTCTAATATCAAATATGAATATGCAACTTAATAAAAAAAAGATTATTATTTATATTTGATACAAATCTTTTAATTATGTAGTCACAACCAAAAGAATAATAAAAAAAAACTATTGTACTTTATTTGACGATACAATCATGGTTTATGAATTATATGATTTGTGGTCATCAGAGCCAAATTACTTATAAAATAGTTAAGTTAAACGCACTTAGGCCAATGTAGAGGTAACTTTTTAAATTTCCGATAGGCTAAGATAATTCTAATGCCATTTAAAAAAAATCAGTATTGAAAAAAAGACAGGCCACTCTTAAAAAATATCTTCATAAAAATACATTATTAAATATATTTCATAAACATTTCATTGGTTATCTGTAACTTATTATATTTGTCATAAATTAAGAATAAGTAATTGCTTTCAAAATATATATCCGTAATTGGTATTAAAATGAGATTTAGAATCTTAATGAATATTTCTATAATAAAAAAGTATAAAATATCAAACATATTAAATGAATTTACATTTTATTATCTGTGCTTTTACACTACACATTTAAGCTAAAACATATTGTCATCTCTTAGATTCCCTTTGAATAAAAAGAGACAGCAGTATGTGTATACAAATGTCTGTAGTCAAACTCACAGTAACATTTTTAATACAAAAATCTATCTTGTAACCTTCTATTTCTTACTGCACTTTGTATGGTTATGTTTACAAAACTATTCTACACAAATAATACTTTTAAGCTACAAGTCTAAGCCAACAATTATTTAGAACACCATTGTAAATAAAAAATAAAATAAGAATTCCAAAAATCTGATTATTTTCACACTATTGTTTACAATGTCTAGTATATAAAAGTACATATATTTTATTTAAGTAATTTTTCCACAAAGATAGAACAAGCCTAGTTAATATTTAATTAATTGACATCAAAAAGGAATAGACAATCAATTTTTCTGTACATTTTTTGTGTTTACACATTCAGTGCAAAACACTCGACCAGCAAGTTCAAATTCATACGAAATAAACTACTACAGAATCCCAGACTACCAAATATAACCATAGTGTAAGAACAACCTAAAACAAAAATTATATAAATAGCATATTTACATTACCACTTAAATTACAATCTTATGTAACGGTCATTGGAACGCTGGTAAGCCAAACATTTCTGGTTGGAACTTAGCTAATGTTGGGAGAACAATGGTAGCATGTTTGGTGAGTCTTTTGTCGAGGTGTGGGTCAGGCACCATGACTACTTGCATACCCGCCTCAATTCCAGCAGTCACACCGTGTGGAGAGTCCTCGAATACCAAACACTGGAAGTTCACAAATAAAATTTATATCAAACTATTAATGTTGTTTAATTTTAAATACGTTGTAGAATGTCATGTTCAAAATTCTTATGCATCATTTTTGAGACTTGGGTTGTAAGTTTTATTGATATGGATCCCAAAGAATTTGTTAACACGTTGACGGACAATTGCGGCTATAGCCGTCAAAGCGAAGTTCACAATGTGGCATGACTGCTATAGCCGTCCAAAACGAAACGGTCGTTTTTAGACACTATGGCTATAGCAGCACAAATGTGCACTTACTGTATAGAGTCCGCTGGCGCCATGACGGTTATAGCCGCAACCTAATTAAAGGTACTAAATTAATCAAAATTAAGTTTATTTAAGCAGAAAGAGTAAAACTATACTTCTAACATTCTAAAAATCACAAAAACATATAGAGTCAATTTTCGAACTTCGCTTGTTCCTACTGTCCGTCAACGTGTTAAAATTAATTATTGTTTTTTTTAGTAGTATGCTTAGTTTTCTGCAACTACATGTTCGAATTTTGCATTTAAGTTAACAGCAAGCATATGTATTATGCTTATGCTCAACTAAAGTGACAGTTAATACTTATACAACACGAAATTTTGTACCTTAGATGGATGAGGTTTGTCAGGAAATCTGGAAGCAGCGACAAGAAATATATCTGGATGGGGCTTTCCAAATTTGACTTCCTTGTCAGTACTGCCCATTACCATATGGTTGAAAAGACTAAACAACTCTTTATAGCTAGCAATCTTTGTCTAAACAGAGCGTTCACTTGATGATGTTGCTAAGGCAAATGGTACTTGCGTTTTGTGCAGGTGACGTATTAATCTTTCAGCACCTGTAAATTGACGAAAATAATAGCAAATATGAGTGAGTGTTGTAGCTGTTTTTTATATAAGTTTATGGGAATAACACAATATTCAACTTGTTTGTCTTTGTTTAATAAATAATTAGTCATGTTTTTACTGCATAAAAAAGTACTAGTTTTTTTAAAATAAAATTTACCATCTAATAAAGGTGTTCCAGCTAACATGGTGTCACCAAGCTTCAGCAACTGGTCTCTGAATTCGTGAGGTGTGACGGGAAGTTTCAGCTCCTTGCATAGAATTTCTGACAACCTCTGTTCAGTTCCACCTAGCACCTTCATCATCAGCTCATCAGTGTACTTGTGTCCATAGTTTGCACACAGTTGAGTTATCATCTTTTTATAAACTTGTTCTGTATCTATAAAAATATGACATTTGTGTTATAAATAAGCACTTATAAAGTTTATTCATATAATAAATCATGTTTGTTATTGACATAAAACTGATTATACAATCAAATTGAAACGCAAACATTTCTTCTGTAGAGCGTAAATATAACCTTCAGTATATTAACATTGACAACAATCAAAAAGGTCGAGCGCATTTACATAGGTACTTACCTAACAGAAGACCGTCCATATCAAATATGCAATGAGTTACTTTTTTCACATTATGTGTCGCTAAAAATCTCCTTCCGATCGTTTTCGATAAACTTTGTAACAAATAAATTCTCATTTTTGAGTCTACACCAAATGTTATATAAACGTGACTAAAATAGAGTGTTTTCTGAATTAACAATTTACGTCCACCATGTAGCGTTCCCTACCAAATAATAAAATACTTTATTATGCGACGAACAGTGGCGGCAGGCTATTTTAAATGTGTATGTTGAAATAAAATTGTGAGGTAAATAGAATGACAAGTTGTTGGTTGGTTATCAAAATATGAATGAAAAACATTTCTAGTACTATTTTCTTTACAACTGACAAGTTACCGTTTCTCTCTTTCTATCTAACCAATTTGGTTTAAGTTGGAAAAGGACAGAATATTTTGTGTTGCTAGTACTATCTTTTGTAGAATTTCACGATCAAAATATTTACCTATGTATTTTCGATAAGTTTTCCAAACTGTTTAAACCCAGTTCTCCATAATAAGATTTACTTTTTTATTGTCAAAATCAGAAATTCTTAGCTTTCAATATTTTTGATACAGTGGCAACAACTTTAGTTAAGTTAACTTTCCGGCTTTCAGCACACTTCAGTCGGCGGCAGTCGTCCTGCGATCGTCATGGATCGCAGTTGAGTTGTTGCTTTTTTGAATGGCGTGCATAATATTTGAAAAGTTAAGTTAAAAGAAAATTTAACTATACTTTTATTTTTATTTATGGTACGCCTTATATAATATATTTTAGAACAGTCTAAAATTAAATTCCGCGAACATGGCTGTGAACGTGTGTTGTTGTGTGAAACTGTCCCCTAACAAAAAATCGATTTTTGGATTGAGTATAAAGAACCAAATATTGTATTTGGTGATAGTTGCGAGTTTATTCGTCGTTGTGTCATCCGCGGACGCTGAGACATCCTGTGCTAAAGTGAAAACTTTCTTCGAAAAGAAAGGAGTGTTGTTGGATGTTGACATACAAGAGCAGGCTAACTCAGGTGAGAATCACGCGCTATCTTTTACAGGGACTTTGATAGCGGTTTAATGAAGATAAATATAGATTAAAAAACTTCGAATAACTATGAGTTGGTGTACAATGAATGTACAGTAAAAAGAGTAGTAATTTCTATTTAAAGCGAGCGCCGCCGGCATGCAAGAGCGCAGCCAGCAATTATTTTTACCTATTAAATGTAAAAAAGAAACATTAATAGCTTACAATGCATAAAGCAAAATAACCAACTATAATTAATAACGTAGGAATAATTCAAAAATGAATAGTTGCACGCAAACTTTGAAATATTTAACTACCCACTGGATAGCGAATTCATTTTTTTTAAAGAATTTAAACACATAAAAATATCAACTATCTTCATTACATTATCTTATATCATATGTGGTAACATGTGGGTAGACAAAGAAAAACGAAGGCACAACAAAATAATAATGAAACAGTGACAAAATAATCTTTATAGCCTATCTGCGATACGGTGATAGTTTTGATATATTTATTAGTAACGGAATCGTAAGGGAAGGTATGGGAAGGGCCGGTAGCTATTGTTATTCAAGAAATGTAGAACCCCCTGCGATAAGGATCTTTTAAGGTACATTTACCTGGAGGTTAAACAAGTCGAAACAAGAGTCCTGTTTTATATTATTGTTCACAGAAATGACTGAATGAATTCACACGAAATCTAAGTGTTCGATTTTTGAATTAAAATTAAGCATCCGGTATCCATAATTTAAAAACAAAAACTAACAGTTTTTTTTTTGAATATATAATCCATTTCAAACCATATTTGCTTTTCTAAGGTTGCATTTTTAACCAAATTTAACGGATCTAAGAATGGCAACACCAATCTGATATATCTCTATTCTCATACGCACAAAGATATAAAACCTTATTTTCTCCAATATCCAAATATCGGATCGATTATTTGAGATCGCTAAACAAATTGCATGTCCTCAGACCTTGTTGCTACTCAAATTCGCACAAGGATTACCATTCGTTTGGGTAAGAAACATTTTGATAAGCTCGTTGCTCTTCTAGTTTACTATTGGTTGACCTAAAGCTGTATTTAATCGTTTATTTAATCTTTTAAAGAGTCATTTTATAACCTCTATACTTATTTGATTTAATATTCAGTTTACAAAGATAAGTTCGGCCCAAAAGTGGTCGGTTCGTGGGTGTATTTGACGCAGTGGGCGTTGTTATGAAATGCATTGCTACATAAATATACCTACATTTGTGCGAACTGAATCTTACGAGGCTTTAGCTTTACGATTATAATCATGTTTACTACAAAATTAACCTTTATTGTAATAACGTAAAGTTGAAATTTGTTTGTTGATGAAAGTGAGGAAGTGCCATTAAAGTTAAAAGCACGCAGCGGTAGGCAGGTAATGGGCTATGTAGGCGCAGAGCGAAGTCTTTGCGGACTTGACTTCGATATGGTTTCAGACGCTGGCCGAGATATGCTCGATAAATGCGTTTATTATTCGATTCGACTTAGTGTAGCTACTATACAGCTCAATGAGCTCAATGGTAATCGATAGTGGTAACAGGAATTAATAAATATGTGAATCCAATACGAGGAACTCACTTCGACCGTCTAGACTAGCTCTGAAGATGAATGTGTTTTTTATATTGTATGCATCACGAATCTTGTTTTTCTTATACAAATTTAAGTTTAAAAGCATATGCATTAATATTGTAAATTTGATATTTTCAAGCCATATCAATCGGCGATCAACAATCAAGGTCGCCCACGAATTCTGTAGAATATTTTTTTTTACTACTTTACTCAATTTGGTATTCCCCAACAAATTTTATTTGATTTTAGCAGATTTACAAGCTATTTACCTCTGAGTTAAAAGTCACTTGCCGGACCTACCCATGAAAGATATCTTTAACACGTTCGATGCTACCGCACCTCTCGCTTTGCGGGTTCACTTAAACCCATACAAATCGTAGTGGCACTAAAAGTGTTAAAATTTTACTATAATGCTTTTGGTACAAAAACATAAAATTTTACAGCTTATGTAAATCTTTAATACCTTATATTGCATTTGTTACCAAAAACAGTTGACCATGATGTCTACACAGCAAAATCATCATCTCCTGATTGAGGTCGGCACATCTGACTTTGTTCTTTAAATCATTCGTGAATTCAGTATCTGAATTCATCGTCTTTTTGGCAAAATATAGAGTCATTTTTGACTCTATATTTTGCCAAGTATGAATATTTAAGTATAAATATCACGATATTTGATGCAAACCTTTTAGTTTGCGTCAAAAATCGTGTTGAAGTTCAATGGACAATGATCATGTACGTTGAATTATAATAACAATGATTCATTACATCCTTTTCCGTTGGCCAAAGGATTCATACATGTCTTTTCAGAAGCTTCGGTATTTAATTATTAGCAATATATTCGCAAGCGATGGCCAGGCGGCGCGACAGCACGCCCGTTATGCCGCCTTGCGAGTGTTGCATGCTTATTAAGGATAGGGTTGCCAGTAATTTGATTACAAGATTTACTTAATATCAACCATAGACTATATTTCAGATTTACTTGAAATATTTTCTGTTGATTTATTACCAGTTATACTGATAACTTGTAGCAATTTGCATATTACATTTTTTTTTAAAGTTTGTGTGAAAGCAAATTTAAAATCCATCTTAAGAGGTTTCATGTTAGTTATATACTACTTACTATTATTTACTTTTCTTTATTATTATTTCTTATTAGTCCCTTTTTGCATGTTTTACAACCCTATATCGCGGCATGCAAATGGTTTTGTATAACTCGATACGCGGGCCCATCTGTCAGGCTTTGTAGTCATATTAACTGACAAGTGGTAAGCCTGCCTCTTATGTGATCTCCGCACTTGCAGGAAGAGGATATACGTCATATGCTGACGATTTATTACTGACGTGCTGTAAATTGTTAAATTAAATTCAGTAATACTCATATTAATTTAATGAATAGCAAATGTTCGATTAATCACAATCGTAAATTGATTAGTAAAGTGGTTTTGCACTAGCTAGTTCTCTTTATACTTTCCTATTTGCATTCCTTTTCTGTTCCTTCGTAGAAATATACTTTGTTTAATATACTTTGCAATAAAAAAGAAATTCCGAATTTTGTAACAAAAAAAATACTATGGGTATACAAAACAGCCTACTTCTATTTCTAAGTGAAAATAGGTGCTAAGATATTAAATGCACTAGCTTTACAAGTGCGGATAAAATGTCTGGGCGAGGTCATCGAGATTCTGGAGTGGTGTAGGACACTTGCGCTCGAGATGTAAGCCTTCAAATGTCAAGAAGTGACTCTCGCCAAAGACCATAGACCATAGACTTAACCGCACGCGACACTGCATGTCTCATTGATGAACTTCGTGAACTTTAAGATTTCTGCCAAATCATATGTATAACATATTATCATCTATGTAGTTTTAAAGGGATTTTTAAGAATGACATTGAAACATAATTATTAAAAATGTAAGTACCAAATAACAAAGGCCGCGTCTAAACGTTTAGTAATGTAGTTATAGGTATAAATTGGTGGTCGTTGTTATAAAGTTTCTAACAAAAAATATGGGGACCAGTAAAAGTCCCAAAGATGTCTTAACTTGAAGGATATGTGTTGTTATCGTTAGATAGAGTTATCCTGTTTGTGCACTTTCCCAGCCCAGCTATCTATCACGGCTGTCACAGGACTCGCGGCAATAGATAACGGATGTCCCGAAGACGACGCTTCTTAAACTTTTATATTATACCATACTTAATATTATTTGTTAGTAACACAAAACTGTAACTGTAACCTTTGCCGAAACATTTGTATAACGAAAAAAAAAACAATAAATTTCGCTATTTTTGAATTTGTAATCGAACGTTATTTATTTTTAAACAGCAGTTAACGTTTGAGGTTTTATTGCAATCAATTTTATTATTATAAAGGCTCTAAAATTCCTATTTTATTGACTACACTTTTATATAATCTATATTTTTCCTGCTTTTTACATGAATATATTAAAAGATGCATTGGCCATGTGTTTGCTTAATCTCGCTCTTTCTGTAAATATTCCTTGTTCTTCCTTGTACGTTCAATAAGGAACGTTCTTAAAACTTGTATGTATTCGGATATTTCCCAATTTAGCTTAAAGCATTAATGAAGTAAAAATCTTATGAATCGATTTATCGAAATATCGAATTTTTAGATGGATGAATGGATGTTTGTTTGAAGGTATCACCAGAACGGCTGAATGGATCTTGATTAAATTTGGCATACATATTGAACATAGTCAGGAAGAACACACAAACTACTAATTATGTTTTTTCTTCATTCTGCGCCGGAAGAGTCGCGGGCAACAGCTAGTACTAGCTAGTATTTGAATAAAATGTGATTAACCTCGTATATGTAATTTAATTACATATTAACTTGTACATAATTAATAAGGTGTTATATAAATATTTGTATTTAATCTGTGCCACTTTATCGTATACAAATAGTATACGCACCCATATAACGGTAAAGTACCTTGTTCATTGGCTACAAAATAATTTGACATTATAACATTGAAGATTTTCGATTTTATTTTTATAGAATGACCTTTACTAATTTCCGTTTAATTTAGTCCACGGCCCACGTAATGGTTTTATAATTTGGATCGTTGATTTATTGGCAATAAAGTTGCCAATGCCTTAAGTCTTTAAAAGAATTACAAAAGCCGTCTTGTGAAGCCCGAGATCCGTTTTGTTTTAAAAATATACTTTTAATTTTTTTTATATTATGTGTCAAAAAACTTAGCTATTCGTCTTTGTGGTTTTCTATATAACTAAAATCGCTTTGTCATCGATTTTAGCAAGTCCGTTTCTTTATAAATTAATATAAATTTGTCTATTATTTAAAACTAGTTAGAAATCTTCGTCGGTTATTAACCTCGGAACATAATGACACGTGTTTATTACAAATAAACTTTATTCAATAGTCA